ACCACAGAGTTGAATGCTTTTGCATAGTCAATAAAACACAAGTGAACATCTTTCCTATATTCTTTGCTTTCAACCAAGATCCATCTGACATCAGCAATGATATCTTTCATTCCATGTCCTCTTCTGAATCCAACTTGCCTTTCTGTGGTTCCCTGCCCATATACTGCTGCAACCAGTTTTGAATTATCTTTAGCAAAATTTTACTTGTGTATGTTATTAATGATATTGTTTGATAATTTCCAGATTCTGTTGGCTCACCTTTCTTTGGAATGGGTACAAATATGGATCTCTTCCTGTCTTTTGGCCAAGTAACTGTCTTCCAATTTACTTGGCATAGAGGAGGGAGTACCTCCAGCATATCATCTGTTTACTGAAACATCTCAAAGGGTATTCTATCAATTCCTGGAGCCTTGTTATTGGCCAATAGCTTTAGTGCGGCATTGACTCCTTCCTGGTCAGATAGCAACTGGTGAAACCCCTGACACTATGACATCTAGTCACTCTTCAGAGCTGGGATTGACCTCACTTCCTTTACTTAACTCATAGCCAAACAATTGACAGGACTAGAAGCCTAACAACTACACAAGGGAAATACTCTTCCTAGAACTATCAACCATGGAGGATGAAAAGGGCAGCATTTTCACAGGGAGAAGGGTAGGGAAGCAGGAATGCATAATCAAGGTCACAGGAGGAGCAATCCCAGGGAGAAAGGTGGAGGAGAGTTGTTACCCTGTGGGAAATGTAATCAGTGTCGTAAAACAAAATGTGTAGGAACTGTTAAATGCAAAATGAATCTATGCTTTAAAATTCCACCCAAATCACCATAAAAAAGTTAAAAAAAGAAAAAGAAAAAGAAAGAAAGAAATGGTGTTTGAGATCAGAAGTCTTTGGGTGTTTCTGTTCTCAGCCTGACCTTCTTACTCCCAGGACATGTTGCTAAGAGTTAGGGGCATATCCTTTCTCAGAATGACTCCAGCTTTCAGAAGATTCTGAATCCAACCCTGGTCTTAGGTTTCTGAAGTAATCACTAATCCAGGAACCACTAATTCACTGAATCACCTATATTTACAATATTTAGTCTCCCTTTCTTGGAAAGATGGTTTTCTGCCAAGACATTAATGTTTAATTTATTAAATATTTCCTCTGCTAGTCACTACACATGAGTTCTTGTGATGTAGTGGGTAAGGCATTTGGTTGCTAATCAGAAGCTCGGCAGTTCAAACCCACCAACCGCTCAATAGGAGGAAGGTGACACAATTTATTTCTGTGAAGATTTTCATAAAGATTTGGAAACTCAATGGGGATGGGTTGGTTTACTGGAGTCACATCACATATATAATTAGTTAAATTTCTGTTATGCATTGAATTGTGCCCTCCTCCCCTTCCCTCCCCCCCCCAAAAAAAACACTTGTGGTACAGTACTAAACCCTGAATCTTCTGAATGTGACATTGATTAGAAATGAGCTCTGAGATGTTATCACTTAATTTATAGGATGTCATATCAGAAAGGGGGAGTCATAATCCAAGATGAGTGCTGTCCTATCGATGTGGAGATGAGACCCAAAGAGACAGAGGGAAAGGGGCCATGCAATGATAGCGTTCCAATGCAGATGCAAGCCAAAAATCCTTACTGCTACCAGAAGATAAGAGATATAAGAACGTATCTCCTCTAGAACCTTCAGAGAAAATATGGACCTAGTGACACCTTGATTGAGGACTTCTAGCCCACAGAACTGTGAGATACTCAGTTTCTGTTGTTTTAAAACGCTTCCCTGCTTGTGGTGCTTTGTAGTGGTAAAATTAGTTGACTACTAGAATGCCCAAAGAATAGATGCCTTAGCCTCAAGGACCTTGTCATTAGTAATATCTATGTCTTGTGGTACCCTGTTAGGATTCACAGAGATTGTAAGAGCCAGAACCTGGGGTGGGGTGCTGGGGGGAAACATGGAGATCTGTCTTGACCCAAAGCAGTCTTCCTTCTCCAGAGAATAAAGAAAACTCAATGGGAACCAGAAAGAGTCAGTGTTCTACAGGAGGATATGATAGTGTAGCAGGAATGTACCCATATGACACCAAATGAGGTAGAAAAAAATATTTACAATAAGAATAGAAATAAAATACTGAATGAAGGGGGAAGTAGTTAAAGAAAAGATAGGTGGCATTTGCTTGGAACAATCATGAGATATTTCATGGGGAGGTAGCATTTGAAATGCACTTACACACTGGAGTAACATGAAGGGAGATTGTCAGGTGAGTATCAGGACAGCAAGTTGTAGAATTCGGCTAGAATATAAGTTATGGACATTGGAAGAATGGGACATTCTATAATGTCAGGCTGAAAGTACATTTTAGTAGCTCACTGTAGAGAAGAAGAAGACTTTTAAAAAGGGTTTTTCAGCAAGGGAAACAATGCGATCAGATCTGTGCATTAGAAAGATTAATCTAGAACTATGCGCAGGAAGGAGCTCTGGTGGTGTAGTGCCTAAGGCACTTGACTGCTAGACAGAAGTCTTGCGGTTCAAACCCACCAGCCACTCCTCAGAAGAAAGATGGGGGTGGTCTACTTCCGTAGTGATACTGCCTCAGAAACCCAAGGAGGGGTCACTATGAGTCGGGGCCTACTCCACGGCACATAACAACAACATGCACAGGAAGGAGTGGAGTCTGGATGATGGGTCAGGAGGCCAATCAAGGATCTGAATGAGAATAGGGGAGGGATGGCAGTGAAGGAGGGCATAGCCACACTTGTCTTTACCACTCTTTCCCCAGCACATATCACAGTTCCTGGTTCTAACTAGTTGCTCAGATTGGAAGAATGAAAGCAAGGGAGGAAGAAAGTTCACAGGTTTTCTTTTTCAAGACCTGTTTTGTTCCATCACTCACTGAATCAAAAGAGATTAAAAAATGTTATCATCTCTTTATTCAAATTTTCTTTAAAATTTCCAGATCTGATTTTTTCAAATCATTAAAATGAACCATGCTTTACTCTTCACTTCAAACAAGAGATTATTAAATTATTTTCTTTCTATTTGTGTAGAATTGTTACAATGAAATAGGTGACATTTGGAGTACTCATGTGATGGTACAGATTTCTAAATTTTTGAAATAAAAGACTGTGATGGTATAGCTGTATCTTGTCTATAATGAATCCATTATTCTACTATTTTGAAAGAGCTTTTATGTATAGTTAGAAAACAAGAAGAAGGAGGGGAAGTTTTGGATATGCAGGTAATTTGGTAGCTGGCATGCTTCATTATTTTGCTTAATACTTATACCAGAGGCATGTATGTATTATTTCCTTTTTCCAGAAACACCCACATCATTTGTATCTTTCTCTAAATGTAATTTATGACACCTAGACAAATAGGTGTCAAGAAAACTTGAAGTTTTCTTTCTTTCTTAATATTTCACTCTTTTCCTTCTCCATTTTCTTACCCTAGTAGAGGTCCTACTCCCAATACGGCTCACAAAACGCATCAAATTCTGCATGAAATAGACTTTTTCCATATTTGAATTACTTGCAAGAGGATTGCATAACCTGTGAGAAAGAAAACAGGAAAATATAAGTGAAGTTCCATTTCACTTGAACTGCAAAATTCAACTTATTAAAAAATGAATGGACACTAGATTTCTTCAGAATGTTTAAACTGTGAAAGGAAAAATAACTTACAGTCTCTAAAGTTTTCAAAATATACCTGTGAATAATTCAATCCAGCATAGGTGTAACACTACTGCTATTAAAATTCTTTCATTAAATCAAAACTTGGACCACAAAAAATTCTCAGTAAATTTTATATTTAGGAGACCATAGCTCTGAAACATTCGTGGGTTATAAACTTGAACTCTGATAAGAAAAATCATCTTATTCATTGGAAAATGCATCTAAGCAAACTCTCATAAAAGTTTATGTAGTTTCGGGTATAGGGACGGATAGATGGGTGAACAAGCTAAGCAATTAGGTATGTCTAAATGGAGAATGTATCCAAGATCATATATAGGGTTGGCAGACAATGGGCCTATAAGTTCATGTGAATGATCAGAATTCCCAGGTGTATAGTAGAGCTGACAAGGGGCAAGGTTATGGTCATTGCTTGGTCACAGCCAGCTACCCAGAGGGACCGAGTAGTTGATCCTGCGGGCTTGGGACCATAGTCGCAGGGGACATCAAGTTCAATTGGCATAACATACTATACAAAACATTGTTCCACCTACTACTTTGGCGAGTAGCGACTGGGACCCTAAAAGCTAGGAAGCTGCCATCTAGATGCAACAACGGGTCTCTCCTCGTCAAGAAGAAAGAAGAAAACCAAAATTAATGGAAACAATCAGTCCTAGCGACTGGTACACCATCCCATCTGCAACCTATACAACTATGAGACCAGAAGAACTAGATGGTGCCCAGCTACCACTGCCATCCACTTGGAAGGGATGTAGGAGATCCTGCATAAAGAGGGAGAACAATGTGGTACAAAACTCAAAATCATTTGGAGGCAAAAAAAAAAAAGGAAGGTGGGGACCAGGTTTGCTGGTCCAATAGAGCCTGGTGTAACCACTGAGACTATGGCCCCTAGCTGCCTTTCAGGTCTGGAATTGAACCCACAACTGTGGTTTCCAGCCAAACAAAGTACAGGCATGTGAGTTAAACATTTACCTCAAGTAGACACACGCCCTGGAGAGAACAATCATGGGAGAAGGAAGGGCTGCTTATGCACAGGGAGATAGCTCAGGGTGCAGAAGAGTATGAAGGGGTGGACACTGGGAGGAGGTAACTATGGGGAGGAAGTGGGAGGGGAGCTGCTGCATTGTAAATTTTGGTGAATGACATGAGACAAAGTATATGTGAACTGCTGTATGAAAAGTGAATTTACTCTGTAAATCTTCACCCAAATCCTAAAAAAAAAAAAAAAAAAGTTTATGTAGTTTCAGGAATTGAGGAACATGGTTAAAGAATTTTTCAATAACTTGATTTCCTTGAATAAGGCTAAAATTTAGTGGAAAAACAACAATGTCTTAGTGTGGAATTTAGAATACTTAAGAAAATTATGAGGGAATTGGAAAGAAAATAGGACAAATTAATGACAAAATGAAAGTCACAATAAAGAGTAGCTTTAGTAAAATAGCAAAATATCTTTGGATGTGACATTAGACAGAAAAGTTGAATGATCCTTCGGCAATACTCCATGTGGTGGGGTAGACAGAGGTTGTGGAAAGCTGCTCTTTTTGAATAAATACAGGAGTGGGAATAAGCTGACTTGACTATGCACACACCCAAAATGTGAAGTAAAATTACAGGAAGAAACTTGGAGAGTTTACCAAGAGACCACAAGGAGTTAGCAGGCAATTGTGATAAACTCAGGAAAACAAATCCAGAAATGAGATGGAAATTTCAGGGCAAGGAAAGCCATATACTTAGTTTTTTAGTTATGTAAGGGACGAGAAACAACTACAGGGAAGTAGGCCTTCCCTATTTCCTAATAATAAATGAGTGGAAAAATTCCTTAAAAACCTTATAGCTGAATGACGATCTAGATGACAAAGTTCCTAGCAGTCAACTTTTAAAATAATGATAATGATAACAGTAATAATCATAATATTACCAATATGTTATTCTAATGCATTTGTTCAATGGCCCAAGCATCAACATTGTTTTTCTTTATTAATTCCTCCAATATTAATTGTATGAGCATTGTAGTGGACATCTTGAAGTATTGAATCTATGTAAAGCAGTCAATAAATGGTACCTATTAATATTGTGATTGTTGTCAGATATTTCTTGCTGCCCAGCATCTATTGCCTGTGTTCTAGTAAGATAAACTCTCTCCTCTCCTTGCATATCACAATCATTGTACTCTCAAACCTTGTAGATCAAGAGGAGCTAATCTCTAGTCTTTGTTTCTGGAAGGTCTCCTGACTCTGACTAAGCCAGTGAGGACACCACAACCCTAAGCTGTCAAGGTAGTGAACTCATGAGTGAGCCCATGACCAAAGCTGAAAAAGGAAAACAGTGGTTTGGACATTTAACGAAACAATCTCTTTTTAAGACTAGACATAGCCGAGATCAGATGAGTCTGGAGCAATGAGTACCATCTTGGCTACCACCTGAGCTGAACATGTCTAAAAGTAAAAGCAACAAATTGAGAAATCACCCTAAGAATATAACTTAAGTCCAGGGGCTCAACTATGATGAAACCACATGTCTCTATCTCTGGATGTTAGTTACATGGGTCACTAATTCCTTTCTTTCACATATGATGCGGTGAGATGTATTTCTGTTGATTTCAACCCACAGTCCTGGCAATGTGCATGGTATTTGCTGGAGAGAGATGGGTCTCTAAGACAGGTGAAGTCCTTGTACTCATAGAGCACAGAGTCGACTGAAGGATTGTTATTTATAGTCCATTGCAAGTGAGCTGAGAGTTGTAAGTGGAAGTGCAGCTTCTTTATGACAAAGTTTAACAACAGGTACATTTCTCCTGGCCTAATGTTCTTCACAGAAGTGTCCATGGGAGAAGATCCTCTCTGCCCAAACATACTGACCACCCTGACATGAAGGATACTAATAAAGGGCTTTTGAAAAATTGATTTTAGTGATATTGGCTTATTCTTTGGATGACCCTTAAGGATGATAAAATTTGTCCTTTGCATGAGTTTTGAAAATAATGAAAAATCACTCCCTGGGTTATAAATATCATGTTACCCATACTTTTAAAATAATTTAAATGAAATTCACTTACTGGCAAGGCTGTAAGTCAGGCGAATAAAGTGAGTACTCAACCTGTAGAACTAACTCCACTTTATACCTCTGAAGACCAAACCAAAGTTCTATAATCGTTTAAGGAATCCAGAGTTGGGTCTATTTATCTGGTTCACTGCCCTTGCTGTTTTTCACAGGTTCCATTGAGTGACCCTATACTTAGACACACAAATGATCTTGCCCATTTTCATAATGAACGTGTTTTCTTCATGTCAAATTAATTAACCAATAGTGGTTGATCCTATTTGTGGCCTATAGAAAATAGTCACTATCTTTGGTTTCTGCTAAGTTTCTGATCTGACTGGAAAGAATAGCAAAGCCTGTAAATAAGTTTGCTCACAGGGGGCTTTAAACAGCAAGGTCCAGCAGAATGAGAGAAGAGGGAGATGTTTAGAGTTGGACAAGGCACGAGTGCTAGGCAGGTGGTCCTTGTAGAGCCTAACACAGGTCCTTGGTGAGAGAGTGTGTCCAAACCCCACATAGATCACTTCCTTGCAGAATGATACTTTGGCTAGCTTCACGCTCTGGTGGTGTAGTGCCTAAGGCATTTGACTGCTAACCAGAAGGCTGGCAGTTCAAACCCACCAACCACTCCTCAGAAGGAAGGTTGAGCAATCTACTTCCATAGTGATACCGCCTCGGAAACCCAAGGAGGGGTCGCTATGAGTTGGGTCCGACTCAACAGCAGCGTGTTTGTTTTTTTTTTTTTGTTTGTTTGTTTGTTTGTTTACCTCACTTCTCAAGAGGCATCATTCATTTAGTGGTAGACTTCTAGCCTTCCATGCACGAGATCCACTTTCATTTCCTGGCAGATGAACCTCCTGTGCGGTCAGTGTAGGCTCACTTGTTGCTATGATACCTCTCAGGTTTCAACTGGGCTACTAGATTACGACAGATCGGTAGAAAGATCTGGTGATCTACTTTTCAAAAATCAACTTATGGATCTTAAGAGTACAACCAGCAAATGTTCAGGGGTCTGGCTCAACAACAGTTTTGCATTCCATTGTGCAGGGGGTTGCCAGGATTTAGGAACCTACTAATGGCAGCTAACTACAACAACCACGTCAATTCTCTGTGTCTTTGGTTTATAACGAGATGAGAACACTAGCTCCCTCACATGGTTATGGTGAGGATGGTTTATTAGCATAGTGCTGGGCACATAGTCATCAGCTATGGCATTTGGTTGATAACCAGAAGATTACTGGTTCAATCCCACCAGCTCCTCCACAGGAAAAAAGATGAGGCAAACTGCTTCCATAAAAATTTACAGCCTTGGAAGCCCAATGGGGTCGCTGTGACTTCTGGCAGTCGGTTTGGTTTGGGTTGATAACTTTAATCAGTAAATAGGGCTTGATTAGGGTTTTAACAGATGGATAGGTTTTTGTAGATTGAAAGGAGAGGTGTTTCCTGAATGGGAAGCAACATGTGAATACATGAAGAAGTAGAAATGAGATACAGGGTCGGGGTAGCCTGTACTGAAAATTTCAAGCTTTATATCAACTCCCACTAAGAGTATACTCAATATAAAATATTGAATACGTTTTGGATTTAACCAGAGGAGGAATACAGAGACTCAATACTGTTCCCTTGTAGTTCCTGAATCAGTAGGTCTAGGGAAAGATACACAGCCAAGAATCCTCCTTAGAAGTGGGGATTAGGAAACTTAGTCCACTTATTTAGGACACGTCTTCAGGGGGCATGTGTAAAAGAGGACATCATACTTGGTTAAGTTAATGTCAGTGATAAAAGGGAATGCCTTCAAAGAGATGGATTGACACAATGTCTGTGACAATGGACTCAAACATATGACTGATTATGAGGATGACACAAGACCCTCCAATATATTATTGTTCTACGTAGGGTCATTACATGTTGCCATTGATTCATTGGCCCCCAACAGCAACAACAAGGAGAAATCCAGGAATCTGTATGCTTGAAAACACCACATGTCTTTGGGTCTTGTGGGGTACACTGAGACTACCATTCTTGCACTCCAGCTATTTTTTGAGTCTACGAAAATATTTTAATATAATTGTTGGGTCCTAACTTTTCTTTCCAAGTTTACATAACTGAAAAAAGAACTTGCACCACTACCATTGAAATCTCTAGTCCGGCTTAAACAAAAATTCATTTTTCAACATGGGGAAAAAGTCTACACATAACAATACTTTTACTCACTTTCTGAAATGCTCCAATATGTCACTATGCTTTTGTTCAAACCCTGTTGAATTCCACACCATTCTTTGATTCATGGAAATTACAAGGCATGATACCCTGTGTTTTTGGTTGTCCCTCTTCCACAGGGGAAGGGTTTTAGGGTACCCCTTCACTGTCCAAGGACTTCAAATTGGCATCAATTCTGTCCTGCCTTCTGATCTGCATTCCCAGCAGATTTTAGAGCATCTATTCAGGTCTAGTAAGAACAACCACATTCAGATCTCATTCACCTCTCTTACATGATCTAGAAATTGCTAACATAAACACTATCCAAATGGAATTGTACTTTCAAAAACCCCCTTTCTTACCAAGTAAGTAGCCATAATGTAAGGAAATGGTGTTTATAGTATACATTTAATTCAATATCAGACTGTGTATTTAGGCAAAAACCTTTACACACAAACCAATCCACTTACTTGAATTGATTTTGAAGAGTACTAAAGAATTCTGGATGTTGCAACAATGTCACAATGAATTGTAAAGCCTCTGAAACTGCTCTTGCACACTCCATGTTGTGAGTGACCAGATTTTTGTAAACCACTTCAAAGTATTCTAAAAATATTTTTAAAAAAAGAAAAGAAAATCAGTACATTTAGTGGATCAGATAAGATTCTATAAAGTGTACAGAAAATTGAACAAAATGATGACTGAATATTTCCTAACTGATTAAAACTTCAAATATTACAGGTTATTAACCAGAATGTATATCTTTTTTTTTTTTTTTTCAAGAAAAACAGAATTGAGTCAAAATTTTACACTTTACTCCTTTTAATAGGAATAGGCATGCATTCAGAGACTCAAACTGTCAATCAAGGGAATATCTCTACCTGGATAAAGCCTAACACACTTAATTATAAATGGTTTATCATTAAGTCAGCTAGTAGGCAGGAAAATTGAAAAGTAACTTCAAATAGTAGATATTTATCATTCAAATATAAGAGCTTTTCCTTTGCATCTTTGGAAATATTTAAATCATGAATTCTTTCACTATCAAATTTAGAGTTAAGACTTAAATCATCGCTGCACATTCAGAAATCATATGATGTTGTCAGAGGGCCTAGAATTGTTTCCAATTTATAGTGATGCCATGTACAGTGGAACAAAACACTGCCAGGTGCTGTGCCATCTTCACAATCATTTTGTTTGAGCCACAGGAGCTCCTGTATCAGTTCATATTGCTGAGGGTCTTCAAGTCATCTTTGCTTTCAGCAAGCAATGGTGTGCCATCTGCACATCATAGGTTGTTAATGAGACTTCCTCCAATCATGACGCCACATTTTTCTTCATATATCCCAGCCTCTCAAATTATTTGCTCACTATACACATTGAATAAATATGAAAAAAGGATGTAACCCTGACAGAAACTTTTCTTGATTTTAAACCATGCAGTATCCCCTTGTTCTGTTCAAACAACTGTCTCTTGGTCTATGTCCAGGTTCCACATGAGCAGAATTAAGTGTTCTGGAATTCCCATTCTTTGCAACATTATCCGTAATTTATTATGATCCACAATAAACACATCTTTCTGGTACTCTTGGCTTTCAGCCAAGATCCATCTGACATTAGCGGTGATATTCCTCATATTACGTCCTCTTTTGAATCTGGCTTGAATTGCTGGCCCTTCCAAGTCGTTATACTGCTGCAACTCTTTTTGAATTTTCTTCAGCAAAATTTTGCTTGCATGTGATATTAACAATGTTGTTCAAAAAAATTCTACATGCTGTTGGATCGTCTTTGCAATTGGCACAAATATAGATCTCCTCCATTTGGTTGCCTAATCATATGTGCAAAGATGGATCACAACTACCCACTATGGGTAGCATAGGAATCGGTCATAGTACCTTATCATATGGGGGTAGGGGGGGAAATAGATTGAAGTCACGTTGGGTGACCCAGACTTATTGGCCAATGCTTGTTGACTGACTTGTACATACTTGCTGACACTTCTAGATTTACTGCCTTGGAAACCCAAAGGGGGTCACTATGAGTCAGAATCGACTCAATGGAAGGGGGTCGGTTTTCTTGGCTTTATATATATATTTTTATATATATACACTCAGTTCCAACTCAAGTTGATCTCACATATGTGTGTCAAAGTTGAGGTGCACTCTATAGCATTCGCAATGATTTTTTTTTTTTTTTTTTTACTGAACCTACATCCTTTTGGTTATCAGATGAAAACAGTAACAATTTGTTCTACCCAAGGACTCACCCATATAGATTGACTCACCATTAAAATTAACTTTTGCCTTGATGATCGCAGTGCTGCCCACTGCTGCAGCAAACAGGGAGGGTTGTGTTAATCTCGACCACACTGCAAGAGAGCCACCATAATACCTGCCAAATGCAACCCACTTATTTTTGGTGAGCCCCAATTTCTTTGCTATTTCAGTTCGGAAGTGGACAATGTCAGCCACGGCTTGTTTGCTGCTGAGGAAGCGGAGACTGGCAGTACTCAGATCTCTATAATGAACACATACACACAAGCTGTGACAACAATGACAGCAGAAAATACGCAGCTCAACATCAGCTTGACTATGAAATAACAATGTATATTTTGAAAATATGTTGAGTTTTTTTACCATGTTCCAAATTGAAATTTTAATTAGCATAATCAGAATGACCCACACCTAACAAACCACTGCCATCAAGTCAATTCCAACTAGAAGTGACCTCCATTAGTTTTCTGAGGCGATAAATCTTTATGGAAGTAGATTGCCACGTCTTCCTTCAGTGACAAGGCTGGTGGGTTTGAAATGCCAACCTTCTGGTTAGCAGTCAAATGCCTTAGGCACTGGGCCACCAGAGCTCCTTAGTCAGAGTGACAGTGACACATAAATGCATGAACTAGCAATAATTGCTAGCCCTTGTGCCATCTTAATTATGTCATTTCATCTTGTCACCATTGCAAAGGAACGTCAAATACTGGTCACTATCAACAGGGTGTCTTTTTTCCACACAGGGAACAGAAACACAATTATCAAATTATTACCTTGATTCAGAGAGGAGCCCATTTTTGAAAGGGGTAATGTGATTTAATTATTTCCAGGGCATTAAGAAATTAATTGCCTTGATGCTATTTTCACCCCTGTTGGTTTGCCACTATATCTAGAGAAAGCCTTATTTGAATCTGTTTCTCAGTAATAGGAAAGCTAATAAAATATATTATTTAATTTTCAATAGGATTTCTTTCACCATAAAATTTCCTAGAAACCTAGGATATTTTTCATCTTTATTATTAAAAGAATAAAAAGTGTCCCTCTCCCTGTGAGATGATATAACTAATTGATTAGGTATTTAAATGTGGAATAAATGCATAGAATATTCACACACAAAAATGCAAATGGTCAGCAAATACATGAATGCATTTAGTTTTTTCCATCATCAATGTAACACAAATATGAGTGTTTTTTTCCTCTCCTATCAAATGGGCAACATTTGTTTTAGCATTCATTGCTGGCATGGATATGACAAGGCAGGCTCTCTTCAGCTCCACTTGTGGAAGTATTGAGTGGTAGAAGCTTTCTGGCAGAAATTTGTTCTCATATAATAAGGGCTTTGAGAGGTAAAACAACTCTGTTGGTTTAGTAATTCTACTAATTCTGCTACAGCAGAACCCGCTAATTATCTTCTACTATGCATTCTTCCTTTCACCTTCAGGTAATTAAAGCCTTGTATTTTAGCTGGGCAAATAGCTACTCATAATAAATGTTACATATCTGGTCACCCTTCCAACCACATGTAGAATGACTAAGTTCAAATCAATGAGATGTAACTGGAAAACTTTAGTTTAGATTTACTGAAATACCCAATAATAAAATACCTCCCTTTTTAATAGCAGAGCCCAAAGCAAATTCTCATATTCTTAGACTTTACCCCATATTACTCAAAGTCCAAATTCTATTGCAAGTTTTTTCCAACATTCTTTTTCTGGGATGCACCTTAGAAAATTAATTTGGATAACAATCACATGATTTGCTGCAGTTATTTCCTAAAATACAAGTTATTTGATTTTCAATATCAATTTTCTTCCTTAGAGGCATTAATAAAGAAAGCACAGACTGAACACTATTTATAGGCTATCAGGAGCTCTGGTAGGGTAATGCATAAGACACTTGACTGTTAACCAGAAGGCTGTCGGTTCATACCCACCAGCCACTCCTCAGAAGGAAGGTTGGACAATCTACTTCTGTAGTGATACCACCTTGGAAACCCAAGGAGAGGTCACTATGAGTCAGGTCTGACCTGACGACACATAACAACATCATAACAACATTAACACAGAGACAGAAATCAAAGTTTCTAATGAAGAAATGCAAAACTGACGGAATTACTAGAATGTCACCTCAATACACAAGTTGACTCATAATAAAGGTATCAGTTCACTGGCACTATTCACATTCACAGGGAAGGTGAATGGGAATTTACCCAGGGACATATAGATAGATTCAATGGAGGATATTCCTACACATAAGTATATGTATGTGTGTGTGTGTGTGTGTATAT